TTAATGCCTCTAGAAAACTATCCAACATTAAATCGATTCACGAAATTGCGTAAGAGCTTCAGGCTGAAGCTCTTACGGTAGACCTCCTTGAGCCTGACGACGGTGACAGATGACGTCATATTCTGAAGACGGTGAGGGCAGTGAAGGAGAGCCTGCGTACACTAATAGAGGAACACTTAGGGAATACTCTGCTGAGGAACTCCCGTCAACGACAGCAATCTCTGCGAAGAAAAAAGAGCCGAAGTCCGACATAGGCAAAATGTCTTTTTTTTGGCCCCCCCCCCCCTGTATATGTAATATAGAGACTGCGGAACACTCTTACTATTGAATTTGGGAAATCACAGAGGTCGCGACGGGAGCGCATTCCGACCTTCGCCATGCTTCGCCCTCAACCCCTTTAGTTAGTGTTAAAACTCAAGTGATGAAATGGATCGGAAGTAGACAAAAGCAGTGTTGCTGCAGGACAGTCCGCTTGCAGATTGAAGCTCTCACTTTCAGGCTGTTTATAATAGTTGATAATCACTTTGCGTTGTTTTTAGCTTTGTAGCTTTGTTCGGTAATTTGAAAGGTTTCCGTGAATGTGTAAATAGTTATTAGAGGTTTTCTACAGGCTGCCGAAGAAGGCCGGGATGTTCCGACATTAGCCAATAAATCCTGTACTAATCTCGGCGGCTGAAACAACAAAGCTAAATATCATTATGACTGCTGAGATTAATGGAGATTCGGTCATGAACTGTTTTGCTACTAGTTATTTACTTTTTTTGAAATTATTAAGATTACTAACTTTACTTTGTGACTGATTATTTTTACTATATTAATGTGTTTCTAATATTGTTGTACTAATAGCCATAACTGCATGAACTGCCGTAGGCTTCATTCTTATTAACTTTAGTCCGTTCGTATCTGTCATGAAGTGCGTTGGCCCGCTTCTCTTCAAAACAGCCCGTGATTTTGATCACAGTGTCCAGCAAGTTCACCTGAACTCCTCCTGGCGAACTCCCCCGCCCTGTTTCTGACGGCCAACTATCTTTAACCATATCACTTTCGACTGGCAGCCATATGGTTGCCGTTCAACCCATGTGTTTAGTCATCAAATATCGGAGGGAGAATCCTTTGGCTTTTCCGTTCTTCCAGGTTTTCGTATCGCTGAAGGTGCACCACTCTGCGATTATTAGCCCTGCTGACTAATCAGTTGCAATTGCTGCTTCGACAGAATTCAAGGTATCTGCAAACCAAACAGGCCACTCGTATCGTGCGATCGGAACTTGTCACCGAGAGCTTTTGTTCACATGAGTAACATGTGCGGAGCACGTGCGCAAATATCTGACCGACGACACGCCCAGGGTCAAGCACGGTGGCGAGCATTTTTTCACTCTCGCTTCTCTCTTCTAGCAGTCGTCTACCTTCCCACTTTTTAGCCCAATTACCTCTACTTCCCGTCAGTCGACCTGACAGGGATAAGGGACTAGGGGAGGGGTGAAATATAATACCTGATGGGGTAAAAGTTGATGGCAATCCCTGAAAATTCCCACTGATAACAAACAACCCCTTTTGGAAGACCATTCTTCAACCTGTTGACCCGGGTGATTCTCGTCCCGTGACTGGTCCTGGATCCAAGTTCAGACGTGCAAGCCAGCAATAGCCAGACTGCTAGGCCTTGTTTCTTCGCGAATTGGACCGGTTCTTGCTACTTTTACATCTCCCCAGCTGACATGGCATTGTTTCGGCTACATATGCACGCGATTTCTCGTTCTCTGCGTATATCTGTTGAGCTCGGGTGGTTCTTTTTTACTCCTGTCTCAAGGCTTTGCTTCTTCAGGATTGCTTTTCAATGGTCGTTTCTCTTGATGAGTTCGTTCTCGTTTCGATCTGTTACACTGCCATTGAAATGACTGGCACTCACACCATCCATTACGTCATGTTGTAGTGGCTGCAGCATGATGCAAAAACTAGTGCGAGGGGGTGGAGGCGATCGGTGGGTGTCAGCCATTTCGTGTACGTTCGACCTGCTGCCTGAGAACGTGATTTGCTGGGTGAACGCTTTGTGCTTTTTAGTGCCAGTACCATCACATGTTGGCAATGATTCTCCCACTGACACAGTACTTTTTAAGTTCTTCTGATAGCAATCGTTCAGATTTCTTGGCAGTTCTCTTTCTGCTCTTCCTCTATCAGCTAGTCTATTTTTACCTTTTACGACTTTCCTGTTGTTTTCATTATTTTCGCTCCAAGGTTTTCCTTCTTCACAAGGAACGGTCAATTGGTCAATAAACCCATTTATGAGTTCACAATGAGACTGAAAACTTCGAACATACATCAGAAAACAGCAAAAGTACGGGCCCGCAGTGGGGTCAATCTCGTGACCCTCCTTTAAAGTGGCCAGACTGACCAATGAACTTTCCTTGTCGGCCAAGTACGACACCTAGCACTTTGTACGATGTTGTACTTTCGCCGTAGACACTGAATCATGAGAAGTAGTACAAGAAAACTACAAGTTCGAACTCCGCAGTAAGGAAATCACCACAAACAGACCATATCGTACTACGCTTTGGTCACCTTCCTATCAAAATGTTCCCTATTCGAAAGGGAACTAAATGTCCTGAGGCCGTATCCTATCGTTCCCTCATGTGAAGGGTAGGGCTTCCCTCACGTCAAGAGTAGGGGTACAAACCTCTTCGAATTTCCTTTGTTTCCCCATCCTGAAATGCCCAAAGAGTGAGACGTTTGTAACGTCGTTGTGTATGTAAAAGTCGAAACAGCTGAATGTAAGGTAGTTGAATCACACAAACAAAAAGGGATTTCCTCCCGTACTCCCCTTTCACCTGAGCAAGGATGCGATGCGGCCCCTGGTTTTAAGGAATCCGCGAGAAAATCGTGATTTTTTCACCCGAAATTTACTGGCTTAGGACCCATCGTTCACGATAGGAACGAAAGGAACAAAAAATGCATTTGTTCTCACTTAAAAAAAATCGATAAGAGAGCAACCGAATAAAAATCAATAGTTATACCTGCAGAAGAAGCTTCACACGATCAAATGGTGCTGTAGTGGTTTTACTGAATGCAGCAGCAGTTCCACCAGCTAAGCATCTTTTCAACACATCCACGGCATCACTTGTGGATGTTGAAGCGATCTCCATGACCCTCCGCTTCTCCCGGTTGCTTACCTAAGAAGCAAGCCGAGATACAGAATATACTGAACGAACACTGAAAAAAGAAGCGACGAAGTGGTAACGATGGCGGATCATGGTGAAGATGTATTACTTGTTCGACGAATGAATTGAAATGATAAGGTCATTGCCTACATACATAATAGAAAGCATCATTGAACGCAATTCAAGGGAATCCTTGCCGGGAAATCCTTGTATGTTTTTCCGATATACCACTCGTGATCACTGGAGATTACAAAGTTTCACCCACAAAGATTCAGCTTCCGAAGAGAAACAAGCTCACGAAATTCTATGGACAGTCGAAGGTAATTCGGGCGGAGTCAAAGGCGGGGCATGGAATAAGTCCGCACTGGGGCGGCTACGTATTAGGCAACGCAATGAAAGAATCGTTGAAGTGTGTGATTTTGAAGACTAGGGACAAATCGATTGATAGAATGGGATGCAGTAGAAGTGTGAGATATTAATGCAATAACCCAAAAGGTTACAAAGGGTTTTAGTCAGCATCGGCATTCCCGTCGCCAGCATCTGATGTCAGGACGTCCGGCGGGTACTTCGAGACGCGTTGCGCACCCTTCGGTTATCGATTTTTTTCTTTGATAACAAAATTGTTTTGTTTGTTTCTTTGTCGTTTTTTAGTGCGTGAACGAGTGCGGGTCCTAAGGCCAGTGAATTTTTGGCTCCCTGTTTGAAAGATCCGGATGCCTCAAAACAGGGGCCGCCATTTGCATCCCTGCTCAGGTGAAGGGGGAGTACGGGAGAAAATCCCTTTTTGTTTGTGTGATTCAAGTGCCCGAAACATTACATTCAGCTGTTGACTTTTACATACACAACGACGTTACAAACGTCTCACTCTTTGAGCATTTCAGGATGGGGAAACAAAGGAAATTCGAAGAGGTTTTGACCAGGGTCAACCCTACGTTGTTACGAGTAACAACGGGGGGGTCGTACCTGGTTGAGTTTGTAGGAGGGGGGGGTCGTACCCACTTTAGTCGCTCGAAATCACGTGTGGGATTGAGGTGAAACTAAGATTTCGTGGGTAGGCTGGGTGAGAGTATAGGTAAAAAATGGGTTGAAATGGTGGAAATAGAAGGAAATTTTCGGAGATATTTACCGTTTCAGAGTGACTATATACCGGGTTGAAATGGTGGAAATAGAAGGAAATTTTCGTAGATATTTACCATGTCAGAGTGATATGCTCGACGGCACTTTTGGAGGAGAAAGTGGGCGGGGTTTTGATGGAAGAATGGAGATGGTGGTGGTAGGGAAAAGGGGGTCGTATCAAATCCACGTTGGGGGAGGGGGGTCGTAAAAATTTTTCGAAAAGTAATAACGATAAGACAGACCCCGGTTTGTACCCCTACTCTTGACGTGAAAGAAGCCCTACCCTTCACATGAGGGAACGATCGGATACGGCGCAAGCTGAGGACACTTTTTAGTCCCTTTCGAATAGCGAACATTTTGATAAGAAGGTGGCCAAAGCGTAGTACGATAAGGTCTGTTTGTGGTGATTTCCTGCGGAGTTCGAACTTGTAGTTTTCTTGTACTACTTCTCATGATTCAGTGTCTACGGCAAAAGTACAACATCGTACAAAGTGCTAGGTGTCGTACTTGGCCGACAAGGAAAAAGTTCAGTTTTGGTCAGGTTTAGCCAACTTTAGAAGGGGGTCACGAGAATTGCGAACCACTGCGGGCCCATATTTTACTGTTTTGGAAGTGCTGTTCGAAGTTTTCAGTCTCATTGTGAACTCATAAATGGGTTTATTGACCAATTGACCGTTCCTTGTGGAAGAAGGAAAACCTTGGAGCGAAAATAATGAAAACAACAGGAAAGTCGTAAAAGGTAAAAATAGACTAGCTGATAGAGGAGAGCAGAAAGAGAACTGCCAAGAAATCTGAACGATTGCTATCAGAAGAACTTAAAAAGTACTGTGTCAGTGGGAGAATCATTGCCAACATGTGATGGTACTGGCACTAAAAAGCACAAAGCGTTCACCCAGCAAATCACGTTCTCAGGCAGCAGGTCGAACGTACACGAAAATGGCTGACACCCGCCGA